TAACTTTTCAGTTTTTGCACTTTTGTTTCTCATAGGTAGCAACTACTAACAGTTAAGAAGCAGGCTTAATGGTAATCGTTCTACTACCATACACAGTTATGTACGGTTGATTATTTGAATTGTTACCAACATTACAATTAGTTTGGTTTGCTGTTAGCTTATCAAACACCCATCTGTCACTTTTCATCTAATTGCATCATTATGGTTATTATTACTGTTTTAGCATTGTATATATTATATCTTATGCAACCCTAAGTGAAATAAAGTGCGTCTCTTTATACAGATTAATTCATCCCTCTAAATAGTCATACTGTGTTGAAAAAATGGTAAGGCCCTCATGAGTGTTTTTAAGAATATTTGCTCGTAAACAGTTAAGCAATGAGGAAAGCTGAAATTATATTCACTGCTTGAAACAATAAAAATGTTAAATATAAATATTTTATTAATAAAAATTGAAAATTTGCAATATCTGTAATTTGCGTTTCTAGAAATAAAAGTACTAGCAGATAAGTAGAAACATTATTTGCCATTTTTCTGCGGTTCACTTTTAATGAACTGCGAATATCGAAAAACGAAACGAGCCGAAAAACAAATTAATTAAACTGTATTTGCCGTTGCAATACCATGCCAAGGGGAAAAAATCAGACAATTGTTACAATGTGTCCCGGGGGAACGATCTAAATACGTTACACATTTAGTAATTTCATGAGAATTTAGCTTAGGGAATTTATTTCATAATAGTTATTGTTGATGAAATCGGATGCTAAGGTGGTTGAGTTGTTTCGCAATATACTTATAAAACCCATAATACATTACACTAGTTATAAATATATTTGCCTATGTAGTTTGGAATATAACTGACAATGGAAATGCGTTTTATGTAGCAGGAATTTCAAAGCTCGCAACATTTACAGTCAATACATATTAAAAAATTACAGCATGCTTTTCAGAAGCTAATAAGTAAAGTCATATTACATTCAGGGTTATTTTAATTAAATTTCAAACAATTATAGTTTTGATAAGTTACGCTAAGAAATGGTAAAATTTAAGAATAGTAAGACAGCGTTGCATATGAATCGGTATACAAATTTGACAATGAGCGTAAAATAGCCCACTTCTACGCCTACTTCGCATATAACACAATATTAAGTACCAACTGAGTCTTTCAGTGTATAGTATTTAAATCATGCATACATAAAGATATCGAAATACGTGTGGGACATCTTTTCTAAAAAGAGTTGAAATCGAAGCATAATTGCTTAAGCACTCAGATTTTGAATTTGGGCACCTTTATACAAAATATAATATTATATTATATATCGGTAAATTTATAAATCAAAATTAAAAATACTTTTTCTAGCCTTCATATACCTATTGTAATGATTTAAGATATTCTATTAAAATTAATTAATTAATGTATTATGCAAATGTTTTAACGATATACTGTAGTTTAATGTCAACAAATGGTGAAAGTCGCCTATGAATTACTCTATCCCCCGGTTGAATTTATATCGTTTATATATTATTTATGATTTTGCCCTACATATATAACCATTACCTATATTTATTTGTCGAATAACGAATATTGAATTGTATTATAAATAGTTATCAAAACCTGAAAATATTTACCGTCGGATTTTTGCAAATTGAGCGTATAAAGCTTCTTGTTGTGCGCGAATTTAACTCTTGCTCCCTACTTCAATTTGCAGGGCAATTTATCAAAGCGTTCTAAACATAAATTTCGAACACATGTGTAGTGGTGAGTTGACAGCTTCCGCTCTTTTCGGAATTTATTTTCTCGGAGATTGCAGCGTTACCTTGGACAATAATCCGTGCCGAATTTCTTAAAGATATCTCGTCAAATAAAAAAGTGTTCCATACAAGGAATGAAATTTTATACTCTCACATCATGTTACTACAGAGTTTAATAGTTTTGTTCACTTAAAGTTATATAATATATATATTGTATATAAATGATGAGACAAGTTGTAATCCCAGTGACTGTCTGTACGTGCGTCCGTCTGTCCGTGCTAGCGATAACTTGAGATATCTTGATGAAACTTGGTACGCATGTTACTTGGCACCCAAGGGAGATTGGTATTACAGATGGGCGGAATCGGACCATTGCCACACCCACTATACGTCATTTAACTAATAACTAAGCAAAAATTAAGATGCATAACTGTAATTTGGTACAGGAAATCGCAGTAGCTAGGGACACTTGTGAGCTAAAAGTGGGCGTGGCTCCGCCCCCTAAATGGTCTAAAGTACATATACAATACATCCAAACCTTTGAAGCTAAATTAACAAAACTTGTTGAGAAGAAGCCTTTTTAGCATCTCTTCATACAATGCACATCGGCCCAAAATTTTTTTTCTTAGTTTTATATAATTATAATAAATACAAATAATAATATTACCATCTCCCCCAAATGAAAAATATTTTGTAAAAAACAAAAAAATTGTTTGATTTGCTTTTGATTACATCTACATAGTTTGTTTATTAATTAAAGCAGCAAAATTAAATAGAAATAACTGTAATGATAATGAATTCAAATTAAATTACAATAGTAAATGAAAAAAAATTCGTAAATTATTCAAGTAACTCAAGAACTTATTTTAATATTGTAGAATTGACTTTTTTTGAAAGGTGCTTTTCTTGGCCAGTTATCAGAGGATCAGAGCGTAAGCGGTTAAGTTTTGATTTGTAGCCACCCGTGAGTTTTTTCGCCGATACATCTTAACGTCCTTATTCCTTGACTGAGCAGTTTCTTCAGAGAGCTCCCCAATTGAAACTAATACATATTGAATGACATCTGTTGCGTGAATCAAAATTGTATGCACTCAAGGAGGAAAATAATACCAGGAATACTTGGATGTTGTTCTCTTGCAATATTTAGACAAAATTTTCTAAATTTGTCCACAATAATTGTATTCCCGGATGATAAGGCTTGCAGTAATACTGCACAGTTTTCAATTAGCTGTTTTTCTATGCCAGCTATTTCAGCTAATAATTGGGCAACATTGAAAAATTTGCTTGCAGTGGTCCCATCATTTGGAGATCCACTACCACCTGTTTTTGATTTGTCAACAACTAAACCGAATTATTTTACGAGACTCGCCTTGAATATTTGTCTTTCTTCTCAGAAATCGTTATTTGTTTTAAGCCGCTTATTTGCCATTGTCTGAAGTCAAGCCTATAATAAACTCGAAGAAAATATTTAAAAAATCGCATGTAATCATATAATGGAGACAATCCAAATTCATAGCGCTCTCTTCGAACTTCGTTTTGGTAGCGTTATGAAAATGATAATAATGCCGAACAAAATGCAAATAATGTAAACAAAAAAACAAAATATACACTTAATGAAGAACGTACACACGCACATCTAAGTAAGACATCACCAAACTGCTTGGTAGAAACACTAGAATAACCCAGAGAGGGGCAAAGGTGGCAGCTAAATTTAATAATATAGACTAAGAAAATATTAACTCATATTAAAAAAAAGATTCATTTGAAAGCAAGACTTTAAAACAATGGGTAAACATATTATTAAATAAAAATAACTTAGTTATATAGTCAATATTCATTATAATTTAACTGAATTAAACGCGATTTAATATTAAAATTAAATTTTCTTAAGAAGGCCAAATTTAAAGCGTACGACTGGGTAGACCAAGAATGAATTTACTGTTTGTTTTATTATTCATTCAAGAAATAGCTTTGATACTTACAAAGGCAAATTTCGGAATTTTATTTTTTACTTTTGGCCCATGAAATCGACCACTGTGCAATGTGAAAGTTGGTAAAATCATAACCACGCCCACTCCCCCTTCTGTGCGAAACCACTAAAAGTTCGAGAACTCACTGAATAAATGCGCCAAAAACATTCAATTTCACAATCAAGATGGTATTAAAGGGCTGTATAGGAGCAGTTAAAAAAATTAGACAATAAGCATGGTACCGCCTACCTTTAGGGGAAATCCTTTATCTCAGGAATTACGTTACCAATTTCAACCAAATTTTGTGAATAACGTTATTTTGACTTTCTAATGTTACATTGTGGAAATGGGCGAAATCGAGCTACGACCACGTTTAATTGTCATGTATCTTAATTTTAAAGTCTATGTGATTCTTTCACTTTACAGTTAATAAATTGCACGCGAAATGTGTTTAAAGAATCTTACGTTCAAAAATTTACGAAATCGGACTATAACTTTTCAATTCCTCGATACTAAACCTTAGTTCCGAAAATCTCGATAAATTTCTGAGATACCGTTTCATGTTAAGGAACAGTTTGTATGGCAGCTAAAAGCTATAGTAGTACGATATCGGCGGCTCCGACAAATGAACAGATAGTTCGCGTATAAAGACAGACGCACATGTTAAATCGACTTAGCTCATCATGCTGATCATTTAGATATATTTTTTGTAGAACCTCTGACTAAGAAATCAGAAATCGTAATTTGTTAAAAATATGTCTAATTGACGCAATATTTTAGTCGTTGAATATATTAGATTTGACTTATAACTAGAAAGCAAAGAGGCAAAATAATGGGTGTAGCAAGTTCGATCAAGGCATCAACATTTTTACGTTTCACGTTTATGTTGTCACTATAGAAATTTTAAAATTCTCAAAAGTACTGATAGGTACAATAGTTGCAGGTTGCATATACAAAACTAACTATAGCTCTATCATATCATGGCTCAAAAATTGACAATTGTATAATTCTTTCCCACAATATGAAAATAAATTATACAACTAGCACCTTGTGACAAAACCTTGACATAAGTAATAAATACATAACTGTTGACATAGAATTGTTTGACGTTAGTTTTTTAATGGCGTCCAAAATAATTTCGTAGTTAATCATATTTCTAATATAAGTTTTTAGGAAAGAAATATACAATTTGTACGATTTTATGTATATATTTTTGACCTATTTTCAGATGACGCAAACTAAAGCATACATTACATATGTATTTGGGATTAACTTAAGGATACAATGAATAAAGTTCGCATAGCAAACTTCGTTTCAACTCCTGTGATCAATACAACGAGAGTCTCTACAACAAAAAAAACGAATGCAACATCGAAATCTTCAACTATGAACTGTCAAACAATGTCAACGGTAAATACTAATCAGGTAAGTTTTCTTTCAGAAATAGGAATTGAATTGAGCTTACTTACCTATAAGTTCACTATGACTTTTCAGATAAAATGGTTTGATTAAACCCTTCTCCAAAGTTACATTTGGCGGACTTACTTATTGGATTAATAGGTTTAGGTTTTCCGAAGGTTGCACCGTTTAATTAGCTTTGTGGGCTTTAGGAGTATACATATTTCTACAGCAAACGTTTGATCGTACATAAGTATATAAAATATTCTAAATGGAATTTTTTTGTTCAGAATGTTTTGCCTAAAATAGTGAAGTTTGCTATATACATACATTCTGCTAGTTCCCATTAACAAACAAAAAATATTATTTTCCCAAGTTGACTTCATGCTGCATAGGTGAAAATATACATAATATATATTGTATAATTTGGTGATATATCTTTACCACTGGATCACTCCTCCTAAAAATCAGCCATGATACGAGAGGTTTTCGTATTTCAGATATGCTTATACCGCAAACATATGACTTATGAGTACCACTACAGAGATTAAAACTCAAATGGGGTAATGCATGTCTACCATTCACATTTTTAAGTTAGGTAGCGCTATACATCAAGTGGGAACCACAATACAATCAGTCAGTCACTTTGCTAACAAATGTTCTACATAAAATCTGTCAAGGAATTGAATACTTGGTAAGAAGAACTTCCGATCTTCTCAAAGCTGCAAATAGTAATAACGCCAATGCTTTCCAAAAATACGATTTTGGGTCAACTGGAAGAACCGAAATCAGCAGTTACATTAGTAGTTATACAGCGTATATTACAAAAGAAACAGTGCGTTCAAAAAATAACGTTTTCGTTTTTCAAAGTGTCGGTAGCATTTATTGGAAAAAATGTTGTTATTATAGAAAATTGTTGTGTTACAGCTGACATTTTTTCAATACTTGCTCCAATCTCCCGCGTTGTCTAATATAGCCTGACAACTTTGTCTACCTCCAGGTATACGGGAATTGCTGAATGAAATCTTTGAAATCTTGACGTTAAATATTTTAACCATATGAGTCACTTCAAAACCCCAAAGCCATGAGCAGAGAGGCTTAAATAAACAAGCACCTCTTGGGGGTGCTTAACACTCCTTTAAATAAATCTTTGTCTTTTTCTTAAAAATTTGTATTTTTTAAACGCACCAAATTAAACCAAAGACCAAATTCCTATTTTCAAATCTATTTTGATTGAAATATCTATTGATGTTTGCGGTATAAGCCTATCTAAAATACGAAAACCTCACTTGGTCTATGTAGTTCCCATAGGTATTTATGCGTTTTTTAATGTTTTTAATATTATAAAGACGGAAGTGCTCCAAAATGCATGTTTAACTTCCTCTATCAAAAGTTTTGTCGACATTTTAATACCCTTGCAACATGTTACTACAGAGTATAATAGTTTTGTTCACTTAACGGTTGCTTGTATCACCAAAAACTAATCGAGGTATGTAACAAGTTACAGTATATAAAAGACCAACCAATTTGAAATCCGAGTGACTGTGCGATAACTTGAGATATCTTGATGAAACTTGGTACACATGTTACTTGGCGCCCTAGGGAGGTTGACATTGCAGTTCTTTAAGGTTCCTTACTGACACTAAAAAATGGATGAAACCGGATGATAACCCCGATATAAGGGCTCATTCAAAAACTACTAATAAAACCTTCAATAAATTTATACGCCAGAGACATTTAATTTTACACCCGAGGTTGTACGAGAGGGCTTCATAGGATCCTTGGTCAAAATAAGGCGATGGGTATGGCACAGCCCACATTTAGGTGAAAACCCATATCTCAGGACCTACTCGACCAAATTTTATTTGTAATATTTCCTTGACATTCTTATGTTCCAGTGCGAAAAAGGGTGAAATCGATTATTTCACTTTCCTGAATTGGTGATTTCACTTATTTTTTCACCTTGGGTGCGGTGTTATACTCACTTGCACTATTGCACTACTTTTAGTTAAAAACTCTTTGATTAATTTCACTTCAATATATTTTTTGAAATTACTTTATAATATAACAAGTTCACTTTCTTTTATTTTTGTTTGTAAATAATTTATAATAAAAGTATAACAAGTTCACTTTCTCTTTTTTTTAAGCGACGAAAACCACTCTGCCAGATCGTTTTAATAGCGAATCTTACAGTTCACGGATGAAATCGAAAAGAGAGCCCGTCCCGGTCTGACTGGTCCCTTTTGATCATTCGGGTGGTGGAAAAGACGGTGGTTGAAGTGTGGGTGTATAGTGTGGTTGGTTAGTGATATGGTGTGTTATGTTGTGTTGTATGATGTTGTACGGTGGGTTGTGTGCTTAGTCGCAAAATGTCGCGGGATCAGAAGTCGCATGAACATCCCGGCCCCTCTAGTCGAATTAATTGCCTAGAAGTCTCTGGAACTGTTGCAGAGTGCTTAGTACGGCGTTCAATCCGCCGCGAGGGTGCCCCTCTGGATGGCTTCGCGCGATGTACTCTTTGGCGCTGGACGGGATTCCAATTTCCATTGTTATCTGTGCCGGTGACTGGTCTGCATTGTGGACGGATTTGCTCGTCGAGGGAATCGATGGAACAATGTGTGATGCGGTCGTTGGCAATATTGACACGATTCGTCGGTTATACAGTCAAAGGTGGAGTGACTATCTGCCAAGCAAGTCATACAATGGCCGTGGGCTCTGGCGATCTGTTGACGTTGAGCGGGTTTCATGTTTTTGAAAATGGTGCACCTCTTCAGGACGTGTGGTTGATGGCATAGACTGCACCGTGGAGGCAGATGCTCCTCAAACTGCTCCTCGTTGCTTGTTGCTGCAGATGATTGGCTGAGCGGACTCGTGGCGCTTTGCATCCTTGGTGCTTCGATGGGTGAAGGTGATGCTATAGGCGCAGCAATTACGAACCTCTCAGTCTTTGGAGTGCTGTGGATATCTTCTACGTCCATTTTTATTGGAATAGGAGTATATATTAAAATATTGTTTGGCTCATAATTTTGAATTATGATATTTATTGGTTGGTTTGAAAAATAGATATATATGTATATATGTTGTGGTTAATTTTTAATCTCATTTGTTAGAGTTAGGTGTGCATGTACGGATTATAAAACGGTAGCATTTCGAGTTAAACGAATTAATTGTATGTTATTTTTATTTATATTTATTCTATGCGCTTGTCTTGGCGAGGTTTGTGTAATTGGTTCTTCGGTGTTCGGAAGAAAACACAATTTTACTAATGATCGAGTTAGTATTCCAGTTTGTGTTCGTACATCTATTATTCTTATGTGACCATCTCGTCCCCGATGGACCTTTTCAATGCGGCCTAGGCGCCATTCGGTTGGAGGAAGGCATTCATCATGTATGATTACGCATTTGCTCGCATTTGGTTCCTTCTGAATCGTTTTCCACCGATGTCTCTTATGGAGATCTTTAAGGTAATCTTCCTTCCATTTATGGCTGAATTCATGATGAAGTATCTTAATTTTTTCCCATCGGTCTATTAAATTGAGTGAGTCTCCTTCTCCCTCAGGTATGGCGAGAAGTGAAGCTCCTCTGAGGAAATGTCCAGGTGTAAGAGCTGTGAAATCGGAGGGATCTTGAGAGAGTGGTAAGATGGGTCTTGAATGTAGGACGGCATCCTCATAATTGAATTTATGATTACCAGCCGTTTTCTTTAAATGTGACTTAAAGCTTTTTACATCTGATTCCCAGGGTCCGCCCATGTGGGGAGAACAAGGGGGTATAAACTGCCAATCGATTCCTTGTGGTGCATATTTTTTAACAATTTCTGGAAAGACTTCTTTAGTAAATTTAACAAACTCTTTCTCTGTGGCTCTTTGAGTCCGTGTTGTCCGACAAAGCGTGCAAATGCTGCGAGAAAAGCCACAGTAGACAGATCCGAACATAGCTCGAGGTGTACTGCCTTTGTCGTGAAGCATTCAAAGACAGCAACATACCCTTTTCTGAATGAGGAAGACCTTACAGGCCTTTATCTGGAAAGGTCCAGCAAAACCGACCCCACTAAAAGGGAAGAGCTGGTAAAGGGAAGAGCAAAATTGCGGCGTTCAGGTGGTAAAGCTGCCATGATCTGCGTGCGTATTTTAGCTTGTACAATGTGCATTGTTTACACATAAAAATCGATCTTTAATTCTAGTCGGACCGTTTGTTGCATCAAGCGATGCTCACCAGGTAATGTAAGTTGGTAAAGATATACTTGTATTAGAAATAAATGAGTAAAACGAGATTTCTCGGGAATAATAATGGGATGTCGCTCGTTATAACTAAGGCTGGAATTCACTAGCCTTTCATGTTCCCGGATTAATGCTTTAGTGTCCAAAAAAGAATTTAAAACGAGAAGGGGTCGTCTTTCGACTAACTTTGATTTCTCCTGAATGAAATAGCGAGTTTGTGTATATGTGATAAGGCTGAGCTTGGAATGTTGCAGGTCGGAATGCGTTAGCTGTACAGAAGGATTATTTGTTATTCCTTTAACCTTTTGTTTAAGTCTTTGGATAAATTTAAGCATGTAAGCGACTACTCTTAGTGCTTTTGGAAATGATGAAATCGATGTAATATATCATCTTCATCAGAAGTGATATGAAAATTTTCAATTCTCCGAATTTCAGGAGCTATTATATTGCGAGAGGGAGACTTTGGCCAAACTTCTTGTGATTCTGTTAACCACGTAGGACCGTTCCACCAGAGTGTAGTGCTGGTGAGATGAAGTGGTTTGCAGCCTCTTTTCCCACGAACCGCAGGATTATCTGCACTTGCAAGATGTTGCCAATATGCTGGGCCAACTAAGTCTAATATTTGAGATATACGGTTAGATATATAAGCCTTCCAGGTATATGGTGGTTTTTCTAACCATGCTAAAACTATTCCTGAGTCTGGCCAAAGGTACATTTTGTGATTGGTTAGTTTCAGATGGGTTTGGATTGAAACTAGTTTTGCTAACAGAAGTGCACCATTCAGCTCGAGCCGTGGCAGGCTTAGTG